GTTTATATGTTAATGCCTGTTCATATATCTAAAATAAATTACTTTATTTTAAGAAATCTGACCAGTCACAAGTTTTCATTTTTCACTTCATCATCAGAGGGATATTTCATTATTTCCTGGTTTCATTTTTGCAAGATCTTGGGGTTATTTTATGAAAATTAGGCTGGTCCTGATTTCATGAGTAATTCCTACAATCGGCAAAGTGGCCCTAATACGCAGTCATAGAGATGTTTTGTAAAGCCCAAAATTCGAACAAATTTGAAGGACAGATGTACTTCGGTCCAAGGAATAAGACTGTGGAACAATCTGGAAAGTGATTATAAAAATGCTGACTCAATAACTTTATTTAAGAGAATGATAAAAGTTAGATTATTTAAGAAATATTAATTTTTATAATGTGCATTCATAAGAACCGTTGTTTGAGAAGGAGTTAAAGTATTTGTTATGATTTGTTATTTAAAGACTATTATTGTTTCACCTTATTTATTTACAAAAAGGGGCAGATTTCAATAAGAATTTTTGTTCTTCTTTCTGCTGCCTTTCATTATATTCGTGTTGCCTTATTTGTTGTATGTATAAAATTTGTTTTTTTAAAGAAATGAAAATATTTTTAAACTAGACATGGGTTTTTACGATGTAAAACAAGTGCACATTGCCATGTAGCATGTCATTGCAGCATGGCTTTGCCTGCAGCAGTGCACTTGCAGAATGAACTGTGACCAAGTTCAAATGTGTTTGCTATACCAGCTTGTGCCTGTCACGTCAGCAGGTGTTTGTAATGAGGGTAACTGTGTGACAATATGAAGTTTGAAGAGATTTTTTGTTAAAGTTGCAGTAGCTGGGTTTTGAACCCTGATCTCCCACAAGAAACTCTATAACATAGACCGTTAGACCAATAGAGTCGTGGCAGAAGGTGGTGGCAGGGGTTGGTTTGTATGTGTGAAGAAAGAGGCCACATTGCCAATACAATTATTGACACAAAAATGCATAATATTACAACAATCGAGCAGTATTAAGACAATATTATAGTAAAACATCAAAATACAATCATATTAGTATTGTAAACACTGAACTATTGAGATTAAATACAATAAAAACTACGGTGCAGTACCAAGTTGAGTACAGCTGGGGGCAGTATTGGACCATTACAAGGCTCCATTGACTCCCATTATAATTCATTAAACATTAATATTTCACAAACTATAAGTTTTACAGGCACCAAAAGGCATAGCCATCATTTGACACAGGAGCTTTAACAGATATAAATTACAATGGCAGCTCTAGGACAAAGTATGCAGGAGGAGAAGCATGGCAAAGTTGAGATGACTTGGATGGGAAACGAATCACAATAGTGTGCATTGCATTGGCAATGCACACTGATAAATAAATTTAAAAATACATTTAATGTTAACTTTTATTTTACAAAAGGATAACTTTAGTAATGTGAGATTCTATGATTTACACATTTTTTTTCTTAGTGAATTTTAAACACCTTGCAAAAATAATTTAATGTTCAGAACAGCAGTTATTGTATATTAGTGAAAATGAAATAACCATTATTTTTTATTTCTGTAGCTATTTATTTGTTAAATTAATTTTCAGTCTTTTTATAATTACACACTTTTAGGTGAACAAAATAATCGTGTTAATAATCGAGACTGGAGGATATAAAAAATTAATCATGATCTTTTTTTTTTTTTTTTAGTTTTTTTGACGGTGGTGGTCTGTAAACTGGTTTTCCAGGACCTGTAGTGCACAGAACGTAAGTAAGTTCTGGTCCTTCACCTGTTTCTGGTCCCACTTGAAGTCAGGAAGCAGCACGAATCCGAGCTCCAGGTCTGGATCTTCATAAAGGATCCTGTCGGCCTCGGCCTTCTTCTCCAGGATGTTGTAGACCCACTGACACAGAGGAGAGATGTGAGCTCAGAGAGGAGCGACAGAGACGGTGACGGAGGAGCTGCTCCCACCTGCAGGCTGAAGCTTTGCTGCTGGACGTAGGGCAGAGTGATGGACTCGTAGTCCTGCGCCGTCTCCTCCACCAGGAAACTCTCCTGCTGCTGGTATTTCTTCACGTGCTTCTGAGTGGCCGGACACACCACTGTAGTCTTAATCTCTGCAAAATAAGACCGAATCACCAGATTGTCCTGCTGCAGCTGAGACCAGAAAATAAAACTCCTGGTATCTCTTGTCCGTACCGTTCAGGTGAGAGGGCACCTGGAGGCGGTACGTGCTGTAGACGTCATTCCTCATCTCTAATCTGAGGGTGGAGGAACTAAAGAGCTCCGGGAGCGAGTCCTCTCTGATGGGCGTCTTCTCCAGAATGACCACGGCCTCCTCATCAGCAATCTGAGGACACATTGGACTGATGCGTTACTAGGAGTGCAATGTACATGTACCCGTATCGAACAGTGCTTTAGGTTCAATACACACTTGTATTGAACAATACAGATTTTAAAAATTTACTTTATCAGCTTGTCTTCTGAAGATCCTCTGTGTTGAAGGATCAGTGGATCTGTGTTCGACTACTCCACCTAGGCTGCATTGTGGAGCACAGATCCACTGAGAAACTTGCTGTTTCAGCAACATTTAATTTAAAAACTGTACTTTTGAGGTCAAACAAATGTTCATAATTAATTTAAATAAATTACAAGTTAAAAGCATCATGGACATTTCTCTTTTTTGTATCGAACAAATATCGAACCGTGAGACTAAAGTATCGAACCGAATCGTGAGTTTTCTGTATCGTTGCAGCCCTACGCGTTACAGCCTGGACTTCCAGAACAGAACTACACAAGTGTCCCTTTGATGCGCGCATCTTTTTTTAAATGTTCATATTTTAAAGGTACTTTTATTTTGAAATAATCAACCGGAAATCATTAATTAAAAAAAAAAAAGAAAATCAATAAACATGAGTAAAACGCTTCCCTTATTTATTAAGCTGCTCTTAATAACAGAAACTCAAATTAACAAAATAAAATGAAGCTCTCGAATTTGACCGGAAATGACCTTTCCATGGATGAAAATGATTTTCTCGCGGGCAGAATCCCTCAGAACTCTGGATGTTTGGAATCCGGACAAAATATTTTCACATTCCGGTTCATTCTCTTCGTCTTTTCGGTCCACTTTTAGCCTCTTAACGTCCCCAGACTCTTCATCTCGCTCCGCTTCACGTTTAGTCGCCATTGAGCCGCACAAAGCTTCTGTGGCGCATGCTCAGTCAGCGGCGTCTCTTTACAAAGATCGTCTGTGTGAAAGAGGTGTCACTCTTCATTTCTCTCTTACAGGATGTTTTTTCTGTTGTTTATTTTGTAGAAATTTGGCTCTGAATTATGAAAATTAAAATTAATGCAGTAACTTAGGTTTTAACTTTAAATTTAAATCAGGAAATTTGAATAGATTTTAAGAAATAAACAAATAAACTGGTCCACCAATATCTCTTCCATACAATTAACTACAATCCATGTCTGCCTCTGTTTAGTGAACTGAAATTTAATTTCTTGTTTTTCATTTTTATTGAAATTGTTTTACATTTCCCTTTATTATACTGATTTTCTTTCATTGTTATCCAATCAGTCACAAACTGTCCTGTTTCCTCCATCCCACACTTTTCTTTTGCTGGGAACAGTCAGTGCTTCATGCTTTGGGATTGTTTTCATTATACAGATCTCCAGTTTAGTTTGTAATTCATTATTTGTTTTAAAAATAAAATAAACCTTTAATTCCCCGGCGCTGTTTTGCCTCTTGGAGACAGTCTTTTATTGTTTTTTTTGGAAGAGATTTATGCAGAGTGAGACCTCTTTCTGGATCCTTTTGTTTCTCTCAGAAACTAACTTCCGGTATATATTTCAAAATAAAAGCTTCAATCAAAACCCATTCAAACATTCTTTGCTTTGGCGCGCTGTAATGATTTAAAGTTACTTCACTGTCTCTGGTCACCCCGCGCCTTGTAATCTGTAATAAAATTCAAATACAAAAATAAAACTGATAAATCTGGTAGTTAAATTGATATAGTCGCTAACAAGCTAACATCGTGATTGACATGTCATTCCACTAATAGAATCAGAATAAGGAGGCGGGGCGACAGCTAAACTAACCAATGAAAACGCAGCAGTCTTTAGACTAACAGGAAGTAGTTTAAAGTAGTTTTAGCTGGATAAACATGAAGACAGCAGTGTGTAAATGGCTTTTATTAATGACTCTTCGTTTATTCACAGGTGCTGCTGGTCCGTTGACAGGTAGTTAGTTTGGTTTCTTTACGAAATACATTAATTTCACTTAAAATATGTTATTAAATTAATGTTATTAGCTTGTAGGTGCTAATTTTACATGCTAATTTAATTTACTCTCCTGTATTTCTGAGTTTGAAGCAGCTGAGGTGAAACCACTACTTTTGTTTGTTTCTAAATACTTTCAAAATACATATATATTAATAGTATTGTTAGCTGACATTCTGAAAAGTCCTGTCTGTTTTTAGAGAGAACAAATGTACTTTTCATCATGGCTGATGACTTGAGGACATCACTGGGCTGCTATGGTGACCCGTTAGTAAAGTCCCCCAACATCGACCAGCTGGCCTCCAGAAGCCAGGTGTTTCTGGAGGCCCACGTCCAGGTGAGCCAGTTTCAGGTCCACCTGCAGAAGGAACAGGTGAGGACGACCTGACTGAAACACGTGACCGACACGTGTGTGTTTTCATCCGCAGCAAGCCGTGTGCGCTCCCAGTCGCACGTCCATGTTGACCAGTCGCAGACCGGACACCACCCGGCTGTATGACTTCAACTCCTACTGGAGGGTCCACTCGGGGAACTACACAACCCTGCCCCAGTACTTTAAGTCCAGAGGCTACACCACCATGTCAGTGGGCAAGGTGTTCCATCCAGGTGAGACTGAGGACACGTTAAAGGGGCTTAAAGTTCAGAATGGACCTGTTGGATCTTCATTTCAAGTTATAATATCATTCCCTCATCAAAAACACACCTGAGTGTCGCTTTGACTCGTTCATGCATGTTTATGAAATCCTTGAATCTCTTGTGGAATGTCGTGTGGAGCTGCCTAAATCCTTGCTGCTACAAAGCTCCGCCTATTTACACAAATCTCCTCCCTGGAGCTCAGTTTGCAACCAGGACCCCGCTCCACAGAGCAGGGTGAGATTGTAATCTGAACCACTTCTGAGTCCGGCCTTTTTTGGACTAAATAATGTCTTTATTGAGGGAAAATGTTTTTAGAGAACCCTCTTCCAACACTTCTACTAAAGCTTGAAGCATTGTTGTGAAGACCTGCTGAAGTGGGAGTGTCGGAAACAGTAGGAGGCCAGTTTCAAGGTGTTTTGCAATAATGTATAATGTTTTGTCCTTCAGTTGTTTAAACGTTTCATTAGTGGTGTGAAATGTGTAGAAATGAGGATCATGTTCTCAGAAACTACTGTTTCTGTCCTGAAACGTTTCTTCTCGTCTTGTCTTATATTTCTTTATTTTTTTCAGGAATCGCCTCTAATCACACTGATGACTTCCCCTACAGCTGGTCCATCCCAGCTTTCCATCCAGCTTCATTTCTGTTTGAGAATAAAAAGGTACAGCAGACATAAGGACATCTTCTAGACCAGTTTACCAGTTTATTGAACATAAAGTGACACGAGGCCCAGTCAGACATTACCAATGTACGGATCAAAATGATAATTATTATAAATCTTGGTTTAATTTTTA